GATGATGATGATGATGATGATGATGATGATGATGATGATGATGATGATGATGATGATGATGATGATGATGATGATGATGATGATGATGATGATGATGATGATGATGATGATGATGATGATGATGATGATGATGATGATGATGATGATGATGATGATGATGATGATGATGATGATGATGATGATGATGATGATGATGATGATGATGATGATGATGATGATGATGATGATGATGATGATGATGATGATGATGATGATGATGATGATGATGATGATGATGATGATGATGATGATGATGATGATGATGATGATGATGATGATGATGATGATGATGATGATGATGATGATGATGATGATGATGATGATGATGATGATGATGATGATGATGATGATGATGATGATGATGATGATGATGATGATGATGATGATGATGATGATGATGATGATGATGATGATGATGATGATGATGATGATGATGATGATGATGATGATGATGATGATGATGATGATGATGATGATGATGATGATGATGATGATGATGATGATGATGATGATGATGATGATGATGATGATGATGATGATGATGATGATGATGATGATGATGATGATGATGATGATGATGATGATGATGATGATGATGATGATGATGATGATGATGATGATGATGATGATGATGATGATGATGATGATGATGATGATGATGATGATGATGATGATGATGATGATGATGATGATGATGATGATGATGATGATGATGATGATGATGATGATGATGATGATGATGATGATGATGATGATGATGATGATGATGATGATGATGATGATGATGATGATGATGATGATGATGATGATGATGATGATGATGATGATGATGATGATGATGATGATGATGATGATGATGATGATGATGATGATGATGATGATGATGATGATGATGATGATGATGATGATGATGATGATGATGATGATGATGATGATGATGATGATGATGATGATGATGATGATGATGATGATGATGATGATGATGATGATGATGATGATGATGATGATGATGATGATGATGATGATGATGATGATGATGATGATGATGATGATGATGATGATGATGATGATGATGATGATGATGATGATGATGATGATGATGATGATGATGATGATGATGATGATGATGATGATGATGATGATGATGATGATGATGATGATGATGATGATGATGATGATGATGATGATGATGATGATGATGATGATGATGATGATGATGATGATGATGATGATGATGATGATGATGATGATGATGATGATGATGATGATGATGATGATGATGATGATGATGATGATGATGATGATGATGATGATGATGATGATGATGATGATGATGATGATGATGATGATGATGATGATGATGATGATGATGATGATGATGATGATGATGATGATGATGATGATGATGATGATGATGATGATGATGATGATGATGATGATGATGATGATGATGATGATGATGATGATGATGATGATGATGATGATGATGATGATGATGATGATGATGATGATGATGATGATGATGATGATGATGATGATGATGATGATGATGATGATGATGATGATGATGATGATGATGATGATGATGATGATGATGATGATGATGATGATGATGATGATGATGATGATGATGATGATGATGATGATGATGATGATGATGATGATGATGATGATGATGATGATGATGATGATGATGATGATGATGATGATGATGATGATGATGATGATGATGATGATGATGATGATGATGATGATGATGATGATGATGATGATGATGATGATGATGATGATGATGATGATGATGATGATGATGATGATGATGATGATGATGATGATGATGATGATGATGATGATGATGATGATGATGATGATGATGATGATGATGATGATGATGATGATGATGATGATGATGATGATGATGATGATGATGATGATGATGATGATGATGATGATGATGATGATGATGATGATGATGATGATGATGATGATGATGATGATGATGATGATGATGATGATGATGATGATGATGATGATGATGATGATGATGATGATGATGATGATGATGATGATGATGATGATGATGATGATGATGATGATGATGATGATGATGATGATGATGATGATGATGATGATGATGATGATGATGATGATGATGATGATGATGATGATGATGATGATGATGATGATGATGATGATGATGATGATGATGATGATGATGATGATGATGATGATGATGATGATGATGATGATGATGATGATGATGATGATGATGATGATGATGATGATGATGATGATGATGATGATGATGATGATGATGATGATGATGATGATGATGATGATGATGATGATGATGATGATGATGATGATGATGATGATGATGATGATGATGATGATGATGATGATGATGATGATGATGATGATGATGATGATGATGATGATGATGATGATGATGATGATGATGATGATGATGATGATGATGATGATGATGATGATGATGATGATGATGATGATGATGATGATGATGATGATGATGATGATGATGATGATGATGATGATGATGATGATGATGATGATGATGATGATGATGATGATGATGATGATGATGATGATGATGATGATGATGATGATGATGATGATGATGATGATGATGATGATGATGATGATGATGATGATGATGATGATGATGATGATGATGATGATGATGATGATGATGATGATGATGATGATGATGATGATGATGATGATGATGATGATGATGATGATGATGATGATGATGATGATGATGATGATGATGATGATGATGATGATGATGATGATGTAAACATAGTTACTACTTCAAGCAGAAATGTAAAATGAAAAAAAAATCGATTTTGTGGTACTGTATATTATAGATTGTTTATCTTTTGATTTATTTATGATTTGATAGTGTTATATTCCGATAAGCCTAATGAATGGTAACTTTTGGGATCCATTTATGGACCAATATTATGAGTATGTTATTGTCGTATAATTGTTATGTAACTAAACTGCTCATATTTCATATCCCTCTTATTATGAGTTTTATTTCGACCTATGAACTATTATTATATGGTTTACTATTCTTGAGTTATGGCCTGTCTATTAATTACTATCTCCCTCATTCACAGCCACATTTGGCTAATTCTTGTACAAATGTTGTTTCCTATTTTATGGTACGGTGTGGTCTGTTTGGTTTGTATATAAACTCAGTACGTTTTAAATAAATGATTCATATTGCGGAGGCTGACATTGGTGTTCTGGAATCAACAGGCAGGGCTAAGCTAGAAGATGGACCGATAGAGACGCTAGACTGCTCATACGGGTTTTAGGCGTCATAGATCCGATCGATAATTCGCTCCTCTGTGATTGGCGGTATCGTTACGTTATACATTAACAAGGCACACTGGCCACAAGTCACAACAGATAGTAAATTGAATCAAATATTCAATTTAATACTTTACAGAATATTTTGGTGAATCAAGTACTGTACCATTGAATGAAGTTAATACAAATGTCAAAACGGTTTTATTGTATGAATCTGAAACATGAAGAATTTCTACAACCATTATGAAAGAGGTATAAGTATTTATACACAATTACTTAATATCCATCGATTGGATACTATCAGCAATAGCCTTAATGTACGAGAGAACAAACTAGCTTTGAGATGAAGAGGAAATTCAGAAAAGACGATGGAGGTGGATAGGACATGCTTTGAAGAAATCACCAAAGTGCATCATGAAGCAAGCGCTAGCTTTGAACGTTGAAGGGAAATAGAAATGAGGAAGACCAAAAAACACACTGTGTCGAGAATTGGAAGCATATATCAAAAGAATGAATAGCAACTGAAAAGAACTGGGAAGGATTGTTCGGGACAGAGTTGGTGAGCGGCTTATGCTCCTCCATGAGGGTAATAGGCATAAGTTAGTAAGTATTTCCTGTACTCACAGTAATAGTTGAACTTGAGGGTTGGAGGTAGTTGATAGAAATTTATGATTCTGTTTGGTACTAATCAGCAAGTCTATTAAACGTGAGAAACTAGCAATATGTTCGATAGAATTTGATTAGCACTATGGTTTAGACAAAAAAAGGCATTAATCGTACTTAGTAAGACAGAGTAGAAAGTCAGTAATCATTTAGTTCTATAACAAACAACCAAGTAAACGATATTCAAAAGTACGCAAATGAGAACACTTTATATTATTATTTTGGTCTTGAGTGCTGTTGGAATTATGAGGGCGGTTATCACTTCCCAGTTGCCTACACCATGGAAGGGTCGTCCATTGTTATAGTTATGATTTGTACTACAGACATATACAGGTTGAAACTTACCACCACTAAAACTGTAAATCTTACATCAATTAATCACCAATAACATCTAATTTATTTCATTTTCTGGATTATTCAATCTGTGTTGGGGTCATCATTGTTCATTTCTAAGATGTCTTATTACAATACGAAAAAGTCAAACTGTAATTCCTGATTTCCAATGATTGCATAGCTCAAGTTAGCTCATGACTTATGCTATAAAATTCAAAAATTTCTATAAACCCTCTGTAGTAATAACAATCATGTACTCACTGATATCTAATCTTGAAATGTTATTCCAAAGGTTCTTGTGAAAAGTCACGATGATATTAGGTGAGAGGCAGTTACTCACAGATAATAATGGTAAGTAATTCATTACTTAATATCGCAAAATGATTGAAGTTAGAAATGTCAACCATTGGATAACGGCAAAATAATCTAAATCTAATAAGCTCATACCGAACTTCAAATGTTTTAAGCTTAATCCTTAGTAGAATCGTGAATCTTTACTTATGAGGAATCATAAAACAGCTAACTAGTACTTCCTAACTTTAAACTATCTAACTAACGTTAGCTAGTGATGTAAACTATGAAATTCAATTAAGTCCACACATCCTCCTCTAATGATTCATTTACTTCTATGAATTGTTTACATTAATTTGTATTATGTAATTCGTGTATTAAATGAAATAAAGACGAAGAAATGAACAATCATTTATCAAGTATATACTACTTATCATAAGTATGGGTACTTATTAAGTCTAAGTGTTAAATGACAGTAGAATTTTGGTGATAAATCACTTTACATTATGTTTTCAGTTTAGGTGTTGTGGAGATTGTTAAGTTTTTGATTGAACTTAACAAACTCCACAACACCTGAACTGATAATTAACATGTGCTAACTAATGACTAGCTTCGTGAGAAAGTTCTCGGAGTTCTAGTGAGAAGCCGTGACCAGTGGAGCTAGTCCGTGTCTGGTAGAAAAAGGTGTCTATCTCAGTACAATGGAAGATGGTCGCACAATTTCGTGGATTGGTTGAGGTTAGACATTAGCACCATTGGATGCCAGTTCAGTGATTTAGTTGATTAAGCGCCTTTCGCGAGACTGATTGGTCCTAGGTTCGAACCTCGCGGGGTGCGGGATTGTGGATGCACACTATTGAGGAGTCCCATACTGGGATGAAACGACCGTCCAGTGCTTTCAGGTTATCCATGATGGTCTAGCTTCAACTGATTCATGATTACATAATGTTTGCTTATTTTACTGAAATAATTAACAATATAATCTTGTTTGGTCTGACTGGTGATAAATCTAATTCCACTAAAATCATGAGATGCAGTTCAACCGTATCGGTTATGTTATAAGGTGGTTACCTATCGAAGACAATAAAAAAGGATCGTGCAATATCATGAATTGAATGAAATTAGACATTAACATCATTGAATGTTGAATCAGTGGTCTAGATACTAAGTGTTCTCGTATGAGACTAAAAGACTTGGGTTTGATTTTTACGTACGGAGTAGTGAATGCACATTGCTGAGAAATCCCGTACTAGGATGAAACGGCTATCCAGTGTTTTCAGGTTTTCATTGGTGGTCTAACATTGATCTGTTCATGATCTCAATGAAAGTTAACTGGAAATTAACAAATGGTTAATAAGTGACATCCTTTTGTTTAACTGATATCGTTAGGCATAGATAATGAATTTAGGTAGTAATTCCTCTTTCGCCAATCTCTTATCCAAAACACGAAGGTGCCAAATGATTTTACATACTTAATAATTCAGTTTTGTAGAATATAATTGAAACTATATAACACAAAGAATATTTTGAGTTAGCATTGCTAGTTTTCAGAAAATAGAGCTATGTCGTAAGATATAGAAATTTTCAGTTTAGGAACTTTCTAGTGGTCTAGCGGTTGAGCGCTCGCGCGCGAGACTGACAAATCCTGGGTTCGAATCTTGCAAGGTGGTATTGTGGATGCGCATTGTTGAGGAGTCCCACAATAGGATTAAAACGGCCGTTCAGTGTTTCCAGGTTTTCCATAGTGATCTAGCTTCAATGGACTCATGATTTCAACCATTGAGATATACATTAGTCGAAAGATAACTTTCGAGTTACTTAAATAAACACAAGGAAATCAATTTCATCTATCAAAAACTATATGTATTATTACAAACGGAGCTATTATCACTGATACATTTAGTTCACTATTGATGTATTAGTCTAGGACACCCGAATAAATTGTAAGTATTACGTGTTATAATCTATTTATTATGATATTTATATATTAATTATGACAACTGGTTTCTAAAATATCACCCATATCAACAAAATACCCATAACGATGTAGATGTAGAACAATTTTTAATGGAATTAAATTTTCAATATGGGGTTTACGGAAATAGATCAATGTTAGACCACCAATGAAAACCTGAAAACACTGGATAGCCGTTTCATCCTAATATGGGATTTCTCACCAATGTGCATTCACGACGCCATATGTAAAAATCGAATTCAAGACCTTCAATCTCACACGCGAACACTTAGCGTCTAGAGCACTGAGTCAACATCCAACGGTGTTAATGTTTAAATTCAATCAATCCACAATATTTCAAGATCATCTTTCATTGTCTTCGGTAGGTAACTGGCTTGCACTCAACAGGCTTAACTTATTAGTTTTCTACTGGATCGTTAAAATACAGAGAACCCTTAGCAGTATATTATATGCAAGTATTCAAACATTCGCCATTCATATTTGTCAAAACATGTTTAACGAAACAGATCTATCAAGTTCAACCAACTTCATTAGACTGACTTTATTAATCATAATGTCAATCGCTATAGAAAAACGCTGAATCACTCAGAGTTTTCATATCAGTCAGTGATCTTGAGTGCTGTTAGAGGTATGAAGGCAGTTATCACTTTCCGATCGCCCACAACGTGGAAGGGTTTCTCTGGAGGTACCTGAAAATACAATTGGGTTAGGGGTGGTCTTAGTGAGCTGAGTGAGTGACTGCAGTGCCCAAGGGACAAAAAATTTAGGCCGATCACACACGAACCTTTTGTGAGTAATGTTCATGTTAACTCCGTACTTGTTGAGACCTTACCACGAGAGACAGAAATCCATGGGATAAGACGAGATGTGCATTTTTAGGGTACACCTTTTCTAACCCCACCTCTCCTTGTGTAAAGGTAGCACCACTGTCATGCTGATTGTTTGAAAGAAATACCTTACTGCCGTCACAGCTCTGTACAGTCAACAGTATGACTTCGCCTTCAGATCTTGAGTTTACTGCTTTTAGTCTTACGGCTCTTCAACTGACCTATCTATATGGTAGGATCTTGTCAGTCAGCTACAACGTGGGACCAGGCACATATATGCATCGGTACAAGTTGCCATACCTCATTAACACAATAAGATGAACACCGAATTTATAAAACCAGTTAATTCAGTGGTGGTAATATATAAAAGAAAGATTGCGTATAAAGATATAGTACAGGAAGGAAGAATTAGTTCGTAGAAGGAAAGATATGGAGCGATTTTGATCTCTTACTTTAAGGGAAGACAGAAAGTATATACACCTACTCCATTGTGATCGATTCTGAGCCATGTTACCCACAGTCTCCAAACATTGCTTACCATAGTCACGCGGACCACAACCAATTAGTATGCATCTAACAACATAGCTCAGACCAGAAGTTAGTGACTTCAAGCACTGATGCCACGTTTTGGTTTGGACATCCCTTACTTTCTTCAAACCATCCCCAACACTGGTTAGCATCGCAAGTCATGGTAATCGGTGTTCATGTATACGTAACCCGTGGCCCAACCATCTCAATCGATGAAAATTCACAACCTCATCAACTGATTTACCACCAATCTCTAATATCCTGCATCTAACCTCAATACTGCTTACCCGGTGATCCCAGCAGATGCGAGAAATGTTTCTAAAAGATGTGATCGAATACTGGTAGCTTACGAATATCTTTTACTCTTAATGACCATGTTTCGCTGTTGTAAATTAAAACAGAACGGACTGCTGCACAATATACTCGTCCCTTCATTTATAGACGGATATGTCACCTTCGCCGTCGGTGACGTAAGTTGGCGAAAGCCAAACGAGCTTTTCGAATCCGTGCTGAGATTCCATCAGATACCAACCCATTAGGACTGAGGTAGGATCTTGAGAAACGATTGTTCTAGTCAGTATAGCTCAATTTGTTTCATCACAATAGGCAAGCTCAACCATCATATCATGATTGGAACAACAATCGTTGGTTTCCTATCCACACTGATCATATCAATTCATATAAAATGAAAGTTATCATTCACAATTAATAAGATTCATACAATTAATTTAAACAATTATTTATTCACAACACAGAAAACACTAAGGAGAAAAACAAATCAGCAACAACAACAACAACATTCAATAGTCTTTAATAGAATGAATTAATCAATCAATCAATGAATAATCAATAAATCATTCAAATCAATGAATTACATAAATCAATCAATAAATTGATCATAGTAACAATGAAATATCCTTTTGATCAACAATAGCATGTTGATTTATTTTATTGATTTATTGATTTTTTTTTCGAAAAAAAATAAAAAAAAAATAAACATAATTATGTACATAAATTTTTTGTATCCATAGTTCTATTAAGCATTAAAATGGAAATAATTAAATAAACCCCTTGTATAATTGAAAATATAAAACATAATGAAATGAATACAATTGTATATTGTTGTATATAATCAGTTAATATATGAACACAACCCTGTTAAGTAAAAGTTTTTTTTTTATAAAAAGAAGAAAAGAAAAAGAAAAAGAAAAGAAATATATGAGATCAATCAAAAGTTTAGATAAATTATGTCATAAAGGAAACATGATTAGGGATTATAAAACGGATACCTATAAATATTCTGGTACGGATGAGAGTGGAGAGAGTTATCTCTCTCTCTCTCTCTCTCTCTAGCTCTCTCTCGAAATGCCTTCACATGGACACGTGTATACAATTACTGACATGGAAGTTCTACTCACGACCTTCTCGTGGTGGGGGTAGGTGTTTACGAAATTCAGAAGATGAAAAATGAATGTCCGACACCTTAACACGGAGAGTTCACCTAGAGGAGTTAGAAAACCCTGATTCTAAATCAATGCTCTACATGGGTTCCAGGATCCTGGAGGAACAAATGACATATGAACCAATTATTAGCCACTGGTTACCATGAGACTGCATCTCCTTACGTTGCTTCACTGCCTTATGAGTCAGACCTTTAGATTAAAGGCTTTGGGTGTAGCCCCCCTACGAAAACCACCTGCTTCGGTTTGGGAACCCAGGCAATATTCAAGCTCTCACACAAATCGAATGAGTTATGTGCCGTATATTTATTTGGTGCCTCCTTGCACCAATGTTTATGGGAAATAAATAAATGAACAATTCTGATGGAGTTTTGTTCGCTGAGATAGATGGTTTGGTTGTGGACCGACATCATCAGTACAAAATTCAGGTACAAGTGAAGCGTTCGAATTTCTTCACATAAGTTTGGCAGCTTGTCCTCTATACTTCGATGTTGATTGGTTCTTGTTGATCTTAAACCAATCATTGTTTACTTTATTTCGGTTGTATCTTTCATTATTTTGATTTTTGTTCCTATATTTGTCCATAATTTTCCTTATGGTCAATAAATTGAATCGATTTCAATATGCTTGTTGATTGTTGATTGACCTGAGTGTCAAGCTTCTAAAAATTCCTTGGTGTTTTTGAAGTTACATCTATCCAAAATTTCCACAGTTGTCCATGTGTTGATGATGTCGTTCAGAAAAACTATGAAAGCTCCACAACCAAACCATCTAGTTCAGAGAAAAAAACTCTATCAAAATCATCCACCTGACCTACAAATCTCCACTATCTCAAAATTACAATTCTGTTTTAAGTAAAAGGTTGAAAAAAAGAGCAGAAAAAATAAGATACTCTTAATTTAAATAATAACTAGAATATCATTGGAAACTAAGGAATTACTGGTTAGCTATTTCATTGTAGTGTGGAACTTCTATCTAAGATCAAGTTTTACTTTAAACTATAAAGTCTTCACAAATGATCCTATACTAAACGACAAACTGAATATATTCAAATCTGAACTTGATAAGTGATGTTCTTGATGTAATGGTGACTCAGTGTGTTGATCAGACTCAATGGAAAATGTTAATAACAATTAAGATATATTTTATTTGAATAACTAACAGTAATCTGAATTCATACTAGGACGAAACGGCCGTCCAGTGCTTCAAGGTTTTCCATGGTGGTCTAGCTTCAATTGACTCATGATTTCAATCAAAAACTTAACAATCTCCACAACACCTAAACTGGTCATTTCATTAACGTTCATTCATGATTAAGCAGGTTTATAGTGGAGTTTTAGTCAGTAATTTTATGACAAAACTAAGAATAACAAACATTACATTTTACAGTATAGTGTGTTGAATAATTGCAGACAACTTTGAAAATTATAAACAGAGATGGATAGTGTCTAGTAGTGGAATCCATGAAGCACGTTCCGTTCTATTTGAGACTTGTCAGCTAGGTGTAACTTCATCTCAAAGTTGTTATTCACTCTGGGACTCGAACCCAGTACTGAGTGAAGTTATAACTTTATAACTTATCTAAGTAACAATAAGATAAACATCTAGCCTGAATTTAATTTGATCATTTTGTATAAAATATGATTATCCAATTAATCAAACATTTACATATAAACTTCACATCTTACCACGGATACAGAAGGCTCGACTAGCTTTTGCCAACTTGTGTCATTTATGGCGTGGGCGAGATATCCGTCTATCAACCAAAGGATGAGTTTACTATGCAGCAGTTCGTTTTGTCCTACTTTATGGCTGTGAAACATGACCGGTAAGAGTAGAGGACATTCGTGGGTTACTAGTATTTGATCATAGGTGTCTTCGAAACATTACTCGGATATCCTGGGACCATCGAGTGATTAGTGCAGTTGTTAGGAAACGGGTACTAGGTAAGTATGGCAAATTAAGTGATGAAGTGGTGAAACTTAATCAGTTGAGATGGCTGGGACACGTGTTACGTATGCCCAAACACCGACTGCCTCGACGTGCGATGTTTTATGGTGTAGGAGTAGGTTGGAAGAAAGCTAGGGGCGGCCAGACCAAAACATGGCACAAATCCATGAAGTCACTGACAAGTGGACTGAGTGAGCCATGTTGGTAGGTGTAGATTACCTGGTTGGGGACTGAGAGATGATAGCAACTGATCATTAGAGACCTTGAATGACATGGCTCAAAATCGTTTGCAATGGCGCAAGTGCATCTTTGTGTTCTTCCAAATTCTAATCTTCTGGATTCTTCACGTCCCTTATTTTCTTTCCAAATTTATTTCACTGGGTTATATTCCTTGAATAACATCTTCAAACCCTAATGTTTCCGATTATTGCTTATACTTTTACTATCTCTATCACTACAGGATTTGAATCGACAACTGCATCTCTGTGCTAATGTGGTATGGCAACTCGAACTGATGTACGTACGTACGAAATTCTACGTTGTTACTGACTGACTGACTGATTAACTGTATTGATTATTATATGAGTATCAGCCCAAAACATTACATTGGATGAACAGAAGGAAGTCCTTCAACTTAGATGTAATAAACATATTACACAAGGTGACCTCTCAAAATGTAATCACCAGTATATTTAAACATATAAACGAAAAAAAGTCAACTAGCCAAGAAGATTTCATGAAATCATTCAAGTCTATGATGTTTTTCGATTGACAGAAAATATATCTATCAAATGTCTGAAGGTGTATTTGTATTTTCAACTTGAACTGGCTGTTAGGGTTTCTTATGGCCTTATAACATAAAGGTTATTTCATTATATCCTAGTTTTTTCAATTCTACCACTTATTACATTACATAACTATTAATTACAATGAGACTATCATTTATGGATGAATCAATCAAACATAAGATATCGATAGAACAATGAGAAGATGGAGTTGATCTGGAAAATGTGATGTGTTGGTGCGTTACATTTCGAACAATAACGCACCAACACATCACATTTTCCAGATCAACTCCATCTTCTCATTGTTCTATCGAAATTTATAAAAGGGACTAATTACTTTAGATATAAGATAGCAGGTCTGAGGTTTCGGCGTGAATTACATCCATCCATTTGGTTAAACAACGTTTCGACATTTTAACTGATGTCAGGTCGTGATGAAAACCAGAAATTTAATTCCCAACCATAACTAACAATTGTAAATCATTATTTTAATTTGTCACACTGGTTTATAACCCTCATTTAGTTTTCGTTAGTAGGTGTACATTCTCAAGATCACTTTGGTATTGCTGAAAGGTCGTCCATAAATTATAGTCTCAACTTGATTGCTTCACTTTTCAAATGACTGAACTTGACACATATTATTCATGGTTATAATCAATGTTTACTTAACTATCTTATTATCTAACTAAGTAAACTCACTTACGTGGTTGTTTGACTTTATGTTAATTGATTTTCCAGCACATTCTTTGTCATGTGATATTTATCTGAAACATCTTAATCAATCTTCGTTTTTACCTTTGTTACTTTACATCACATTCTAGCTTGAACAACTGCTGAAAGGCAGAAAATACTAAACAACGGTACTAGTTTAGTGTGAGACTCTTTATTAGTGCAATCAAGATCCAACAGCTTCAGACCTCTCAGTAAGAGCTTGATCTTTAGATCACTATTCTGGGATTAAATGATGTACATTTTTAACATCAATAAAATTACCATATCATGCGACCTTACATGGTTAATATCTACTAGTTATAGCTTCTTATTAGAACTTAGGGAATCATCTTCTACTGTTAGCTTCTGTTAAACTAGTAATAAACTTTTAGTTAAGTAGATTGTAGAATTTGGATCTTTGTTATGTAAATTACTAAAATTTTCTGCATTAAATTCTAATCAACTTCATTTTATAAGGTGTAATGAGAACTGCTTTCAAATCTGAAACATAATAGTTTGGTACATCTGATGAGGATTGAAAGTGGTTTAATAAATAAAAATGGGAAGTGGCTAGCAGTAGAATTCAGAGCGCTCGTTTTTTCCTATTTAGGACTTTAGCTAGCTGTGTCTGCATTCGAGTTGTTAAGCAATCCGGGAATCGAACCCAGTATCGTTCACTTCAAACGTTATTGAATTTTCTACTTAGCTAGTGATAGCCATTTGCTTGAGCAATGGGGTGAAGTTTAACTTGACTTGATATTATTTACTTGAATCTTCCCATTAATATTTAGGATTGTAATTGATCAATCTCTTATTGCCATATGTGCATATTATGCGGATTGCCTCGATATTTCCTTAATTTACAAGCATTATAAGCAAAGATGGATAGTGTCCAGTAGTAGAATCCAGTTTGACGCGCTTTTCGTCCTATTTAGGACTGGTCGGCTAGATGTACCTGCATCACAAAGTTGATATTCACTCCAGGACTAGAACCCAGTACCGTTCTATTCAAACGCCAACTTTCAAACAAACAATACGAATTGTATTAAAACTTCACCCCATCGCACAAGCACGTAGCTATCAGGACTCAGTAGCTAAGTGGATAACGTGATGGCGTTTGAAGTGAACGATACTGGGTTCGAGTCCCAGGGTGAACACCAACTCTGAGGTACAGCTACATCCAGCTGACGAGCCTCAGACAGGACGAAACGCGCATCCTGGATTAGACTGTTAACCACCATCTATCTTTGTTTATAATACTTGTCAATTAAGTCAATACGCTCAGTATGCACATATGCCAATAAGATACTGGTCGATTGTAGTCCTAAATATCAATGAGAAGATTCAAGTAAAACAATACCATATGAATTCGATTTCAATAGTTGATATCATGAATCAATTAAAGCTAGACCATCATGGGAAACGTGGAAGTACAGTTTCGTCCTATTGTGTGACTTTACATCCCTGCCTCATGGGATTCCCACCCAGGACTTATCAGTCTCGCAGGCGAGCTCTTAAACACTAGACCACTGAACTGGCATTCAACGGTGTTAATGTCTAACTTTAACTAATCCACGAAATTCATCAGTTTAGGAAAAATCCTAGAATACAATGAAATTGTATAACATATATATCAGTTTAATTTATTAAGAAATAATCCATATATTGACTTACTCTTGCATAAACTAAATAACCGATGATACAAGAGAATGGTATATTCAAACCCAATTTTCTATAATCCAAATAAGATTCAGCTCCACAACATTTAAACTATCAACAACAAAAACAAAAGTAAGAAGAAGAAAAAAACATGATCAAAATGAATGTCATATACAAGTTAGACATTAACACCATTGGATGCCAGCTCAGTGGTCTAGTGGTTAAGTGCTCACACGCGAGACCAGTAGGTCCTGGGTTCGAATCTCGCAAGAGGCGAGGTCGTGGATGCGCACTGCTGAGGAGTCCCACCATAGGACGAAACGGCTGTCCAGTGCTTCCAGGTTTTCCATGGTGGTCTAGCTTCAACTGACTCATGATCTTAATCATTGAAACAAAAAAACATTTCAACAATGTAAATAAAAAAGATGAAATTTGTCATTACTTCACTTTGTAAATGATCCATTTCCATTTCATATTGAGGTTTTTCATAATAGAATTTCACACTATCTAATAATGCACTATGAGTAGTTGTATAGAACTATAGGAATGAAAGAATATATATTATATTGAATTTGTAATGAAACTAACTTGATCATACATTACAGCTGATGTTGTTGCTATACCAATTTCAATAAGTGTAACAATACACAAGCTAATAATATGCTAAATAAAATAAAAGAAAAAGACAATTTATTTTGACATGAATACAGCATTTAAAAACATTGTCAAGGATGAATGGTTACATCTCAGTCTTACAGGAGGTTAGTCAATGCTCGGATAGCTCAGTGGTAACGTCTCTGATTGTGAAGCTGGGTGACACTTGATCGAATCCGCCAGGGAGCACCAGTTCCCTTATGATTACAGGTACACCTTGCTGATGAGTGCCAAGTAGCACGAGACCCGGGTCCAGGGTTTCCTTTTGACTACCTCCAACCACCATTTAGTGAATGGTTACGTTTATTGGAGCTTTGATTATTTGTAAATTTAACCTCACCCCTCGTTCCCTTATGTGTACAAAAACAATTTGTTGTAACCTTGACTTTACCTAAGTAACCCTCAAGTCATTCTATGGCCTTGGATAATGCGATAATTTCTTATTCTCTCTATACGATATAAAAAAATGTTTCTTTCCACTTTGTCACCTTTCATTTAATTGACCTTTATTAACTTTCATATAAAATGATCTGGTAAGTATATGTGCGACCAGATTATTCGAAATGTATAGCGTAAATATATCACATTTTTTTATTGAGATCATGAACCGATTGATGTTAGACCACCGTTAGAAACCAGGAAGTACGAACGGCCCTTTCCTCCTATAGTGGGACTCCACAGCAGTGAGCATACACGATCCCACTAGCGGGATTCAAACCCACGGCCTTCAGTCCCATGCGCGAACGCTTAACCTACTGGATCACTGAGCCGGCATTCAATGGTTTTAGTGTCTAACATCAACCAATCCACGAAATTGCGCGATCATCTTCCATTGTACTGAGGTAGATACCTGTCTCTACCCGACACGGATTAGCTCCACTGGTCACGGCTTCTCACTAGAACTCCGAGAATTCCCTCACGAAGCTAGTCACTAGTTAGCACATGTTAATTATCAGTATAGGGGTTTTGAAGATTATTAAGTTTTTGATTGAGGACGAAATGGCCATCCAATGCTTCCATGTTACCAACGGTTGTTTAACATCAATCGATTCATGATCTCAATCAACAAATTAATGATCTTCATAAATCCTATTCTGACATCACATTTATTCAGATCAACTCCCTCTTCTCATTGTTCTATGGAGAATTTTTTAAAAGGAACTAATTGCTTTAAAAAATTTAATACCAAAAAGAAAAGAATCATTAAATAATACATACTATTAAAGCAATTGAATTCATTGGTTTCCATAATCCAATATATCCAATTAATGCAGCTATGATACCGAAACATCCAGTAAATAGAATAGTTGGAATGATAGCTGGTATTGATGTATTTAAAATGGTTGTATATTTTGATAAAGTATTTTGTGTTATTATACCTAATATAAGTAGTATAATGTTAAATATCTTTTTTTGGTGAATAGAATTATACTACTTACAACAAATAAAGTATTTAATGTAATAAATATTTTCTGCCAAAATTCTCTTGATAATGAAACACACATCATTTTCTTAATTCTAAAAAAAGAAAGAAAAGAAAAGAAGAGGAATTCAATAACTGGGTTATTATAAAATGAAGTTTTAATGTAAAACATGGTTGTAATGGAAAAAAAACAACATTATACTGATTCCAAATGTCAATCAAATAGATTATTGCATTGATGGGTATAACAACTTCGACAATCAACTTACCTATACTGTTGAGAAATTGTATAAAAATCTATTTTTACATAGATCAAATATGTTGTCAGTTAGTGTAGAATACAATTAATATTTATATAGATAAATATTACCTACTTACTTACTTACGTCTGTTACTCCTCGTGAAGGAGCATTGGCCGCTCAACAGCATTCTCCATTCAACCCTGTCTTGGGCAATCCTTTCTAGCTCCTTCCAGTTCCTATTCATCCTTTCCATATCTGCTTTTATTTCCCGACGTAATGTGTTCTTTGGTCTTCCTCTTTTCCACTTCCCTTCAGGATTCCAAGTTAGGGCTTGTCTCGTGATGCAGTTTGACAATTTGCGTACTGTATGTCCTATCCATTTCCATCGTCTTTTTCTAATTTCCTCTTCAGCTGGAAGCTGGTTTGTTCTCTCTCACAGAAGGCTGTTGCTGATGGTATCTGGCCAACGGATGTTGAGTATCTTGCGTAGACAGCTATTTATAAATACCTGTACCTTCTTGATGATGGTTGTAGTAGTTCTCTAAGTTTCAGCTCAGTAGGAATGTTGTCCTTGCTTTGCTAATCCTCGCGTTTACGTCTGCATCTGAACCTCCTTGTTCATCGATTATGCTTCCCAGGTATGGATAAATATATCCGAGTTTTAATGAAATCAGTAATATCATCATCATCATCATCATCATCATCATCATCATCATCATCATCATCATCATCATCATCATCATCATCATCATCATCATCATCATCATCATCATCATCATCATCATCATCATCATCATCATCATCATCATCATCATCATCATCATCATCATCATCATCATCATCATCATCATCATCATCATCATCATCATCATCATCATCATCATCATCATCATCATCATCATCATCATCATCATCATCATCATCATCATCATCATCATCATCATCATCATCATCATCATCATCATCATCATCATCATCATCATCATCATCATCATCATCATCATCATCATCATCATCATCATCATCATCATCATCATCATCATCATCATCATCATCATCATCATCATCATCATCATCATCATCATCATCATCATCATCATCATCATCATCATCATCATCATCATCATCATCATCATCATCATCATCATCATCATCATCATCATCATCATCATCATCATCATCATCATCATCATCATCATCATCATCATCATCATCATCATCATCATCATCATCATCATCATCATCATCATCATCATCATCATCATCATCATCATCATCATCATCATCATCATCATCATCATCATCATCATCATCATCATCATCATCATCATCATCATCATCATCATCATCATCATCATCATCATCATCATCATCATCATCATCATCATCATCATCATCAAATATGTGCTTACCATGTACAATTGTAATTTGTTGTAGACGTAAGAAATATTGGTTTCTGCCTTTTATGTAGCACTTATACGTGTTGTTATTTCAAAATCGATATTAATGATGATTGATTGTTGAGAAAGACCCAAACAGGAATGAGAAACGTTACATAAACACACACACACCCATTTAAATGTGATTCTTTTAGATAATGATGTAATGATCCATGTATTCATGTTTAGGTAGAGTATGGAAATGGAAAGAAGTTGTTTTAAACATAATAATATTGTAATCGATATCAAATATTTATTATTTGTACTTGAGTTTTTCAATAGTTCTGTTTTATATTAATTAAAGTAATTGTAACGAAAATTACTGAAGTGTGTATTTACTTACTTATTTATTTACTCTTGTTACCACTCGTGGAGAAACATAGGTCGACCACCACAATTCTCCAACCAATTCTGTCTCCTATTCTTTTTTTTTATAGCTGTTCTCAAATACAATTCATTCTTTTGATACCTACCTCCAATTCTCGACTCAATCTATTCTTAGATTTACCTGTTTTCCTCTGGCCTTCAGATTTCCAAGTTAACGATTATCTCGTGCTGCAGTTTGATGATTTCTTCAATGTGTGTTCTATCCACCTCCAATGTCTTTTCTCGATTTCCTGTTGAGTTGTAAGTTCGTTTGATCTGTGGTATAGTAGGTTGTTGTTGATTGTATCTGGTCAACGTATACTGAGTATTTTGTGTAAATAATTGTTTATGAATAGTTGCACATGTTCGATGATGATTGTGGTAGTTCTCCAAGTTTCAGCTCCATAAAGTAAAACTATCTTGACGTTTGTATTGAAAATCGTTATGCTGCGCGGTGTCTGAGACCTGATACTGATGCCTAAATTGCTACGTGCTCACCACCCAAACTGATTGTTTGAGCAAAAGGACGAGAGTGGAATAAAAATTCTTCTGGGCTACCAAACAATATGTATAAATACTCATGTACGTATATACATATCTATCCCTTAGAAAATGAATCCATTTCCTAGAAAATGATATACATTTGTCCTTCAGGTCATTCTTAATTATCTTGGCTTACACCATGAGGCGTCATAACACTTCTCTCAACTCAGAGGGTAGAATTTAAATGGTTGAATTGGTTTAGTCTGGTTAACATTTCTGTTTTATTTCCAAGATTGTTTTCTACCAGGATGGGTTTGTCGACCCTATTTCTAACTCTCTCCTTTATCGAAGCATGGAAGCGACAGTTTCTGTATTAACATGGAATATAAAATTCGATCAAAATTCAACATACATCAACCATTAAGTGAATGGTTAAGAAAGTTGATTATACTTATATTACACTTAAGAACTATGAATTACTGGAAAGCTATTTTGTTTTATCATATAGAGTGTTAGACTGATGTCACGGCTAACAGAAGATAATATTCATATAATATTGGAAAGTCATAAAAAATAAAACTGTAATCAAGTGGATACTAAGTTAAATGGTCTAAAGGTACCTCTGTGGTGTGGGTTACTTATATCCATATAAGTAGTATATAACGGTGATCAAACATAGAGTGTATTTCAGTAGAAGATCAGTAAGGAAAGAACGGAGACAGAACGCAGTTGGTATGATTGTGCCTACTTGTGATCTTGTTCATTACACCTCCATCACCTTAATGATAGATTATTCGGTTAGCCTGGAATTTGGTTGGTTATTGTTCATAGCTATGTAATTGTCATTCGTTTGTTTGCTTTGAATGTTTTCTCTTTTCACCTGTTCTTTCACACTACAGTGACTTATCCTTACTGCTTAATAGGGGTCTGTTAATTTTAATTCTATTAGAAAGAAAATGTGTAATTATTCTATGTGAACATTTACCTACAAAGATTTATATTCACATAATTAATTGGTGTTCACTTTGGGACTCAAACTCAGTACCATCCTTTTTAAACTCCGCTGCGTTATCCATTAGCTACTGAGTCTCAGAGTGAGCATCAATTCTGAGAAGCAGACATACCCAGCTGACGAGTCCCAAATAGGACGAAACATGAGTCCTGAATTCCACTGCTAGCCATTATCCATCTTTCCTTAGAATGCTTGTGAATTAAGACAATATCGAGTCAGTGTACGCAGTATGCACATATGGCAATAAGAGATTGAGCAATTACAGTCCTAAACATCAATAGGAAGATTCAAGTAAACAATATCAAATAGATTTAAACTTCACCCTATTGCACAAGCAAATGGCTATCAGGATTCACTAGCTAAGTGGATAACGTGATGGCGTTTAGAGCAAACGGTACCGGGTTCTAGTTTTGGAGTGAACATCAACTCTGAGATGCAGGTACATCCAGCTGACCAGTCCTAAATAGGATGAGACGCGTGTTCTGAATTCCACTGTTAGTTACTATCCATCTTTCCTTAGAATGCGGCGAGACTATAATTTATAGACGAACCAATCAGATATAAGATAGTGAGTCACGAATTTTGGCGCGAAATTCATCCATACATTTGGCTAAATAGAGTTTTGACATTATAGCTGATATCAGTTCGTGATGAAAATCCTAAATCTAATTTTAACCCTAACCATTAACTGTAAGTAAAAATTCTAACTGCTTTATAACACTCATTTAGTCCTAATCAGTAAGTGTTCATCGTCAGATTCATTTCAGCGTCACTCAAATGTCGTCCATAAATTATAGTCTCACCTAGAATGCTTGTGAATTAAGACAATATCAAATCAATACATATAATATCCATATATACCAATAAATGACTGTTCAATTACAGTCGTAAAACATCAATAAAAAGATTCAAATAATACAACAATACCAACTGAATATTAAACAATATGTTGATATTCACTTGTATCTTCCCATTGAGGTTTAAGACTGCGATTGATCAGTCTGTTATTGGCATATGTGCATACTGTGCGTATACCTCGATATTACCTTAATTCACAAGCTATTTGTAAGCAATGATGGATAGTGGCTAACAATGTAATCCAGTTTAACGCGCGTTTCGTCCTATTTAGGACTCGTCAGCTGGATATACCTGCATCTCAGAAAGTTGATGTTCACTCTGCGTTAAGTGAAGTGTTATGTTGATATTCCTACTATTCAAGATTCATATTCTCTGATCAATTCATTTAAGTAAACCATTGTTTACATATTATGTAATAGAAAAAAGAAACAATATTTGTTTTATTCTTATCATTAATTCTGTTGATTACATAATAATGATAATAATAGTAATAATGGCCCAAAAATAATCAACAACAGTAACCATGCAATACAGATTGTCAAATGTGATATATGACATTACTTTAATCAATAATGATTCAATTTGTATTGATGACATGATAGTTTATGATTATTGTTGTTGTATTAAGTAAACAATTTAAAAAGGAATGAAAAGAAAAGAAAAGAAAACAATTGGAGTTTATCATCTTCATTATCCTACTCCATTGAGAGTAATAGGCATAAGTAAGTAAATAAGATTTATGGTGATGCATTTTTTGCAGTCAATGAATTTTTAAATAAACAAATAGAGATAATCACATAAATAGCTTTAATAATACCAAATACAAAGCACATAGTAATTAATGCAACAATATAATGTTGGGCATAATCACTGAATGCTTCTACACAACCCTGATTATATTACACACAAAAAAAAACAAAAAAAAAAGGAAAGTGAGAAAAATGAAAGTGATGAATTATACAATTGTAAATCAATATTGTAATGTTAAGCAAGTTTAGATGATGTTATCATTTAGAGATGATACAAATAGTGTCATATTGAAACGAAGATGTAAATGAGCTAACAACCGAATATTTTATACAGCCCAACTGTGTCATTATTGAAATGACATAGTTTATGTTTCACTAAAAGCCCAAACAGCACAAAAGTGTTTGTGTCTATCAATTTACATGTATATGTGGTAACATGTACATTGGGGAGGAGCAATAGTGATTTGCAATTAAGGATGGGTGAATACATACCAAAATGGCTACAAAAACAAATGAATTTCAATGGTCAAATAAGATCATAGGATAGACAAACATCATCCTCCATTGCGAAACATTTAATTGAGACTGGTCAGAAACTTGACATCATGTTAGCATTTGTAGTGTTGTACAAAAGCCTTCAAGGACGTATACTAAGGTTCATTGAAGCCTTCACTATACAGAAACTGAAACCCCCTTTATGCATTCAAAAACAATTTGTCCTTAACCTTAACACCTCCCCTGGTAATACTGATTTATTATCCAGAGTGGTTATCACATTGTTTTTTATCTTCGTTACGGCTTACCTTTAACCTGACTAGTTGACCTTTTAATTTTCATATAAAAATGTCTTAACAAGTACATTATATGTGATCAGATTATTCGAAATGTATTGCGTCTTCTCATTGCATTATCTAAATTTCTCAAAGGGACTAATTATCAGAAGGGGTTTGTGGAGATTTTGGAAAATTCACAGATTTAAATCATGAGTCAGTTGAAACTAGATCACCATGGAAAACCTGAGAGCACTGAACGGCCGTTTCGTTCTATTGTGGGACTCCTTAAGATGCATATCCTGGAGTTCTAGTGAGAAGCAGTGACCAGTGCACTTCAACCGGATCAGTTGTGAGACAGTAACTCACTGAAGACAATAGTGAATATGTGGCTCAATTTCGTGGATTGGTTGAAGTTAGGCATTAGCACCGTTAGACGGTGATTCGATGGTCTAGTGGTTAGGCGCTCACGCGCGAGACTGATATATTCTGAGTTCAAATCCGACGAGGCGGGATCGTGGGTGCGTACTACCGATGAGTCCTACAATAGGTTTTCCATGATGGTCCAGCTACAATCGACCCATTATCTCAACTAATGAATTTACTACAGTTTCCACAAAACCCCTTCGTATACTAATTCCTATTAAGTTTCATTACTTAGTAATATTATGTGGTTTGTATACAAGTCTCCAATGTATGAGTGATGAGTTAAGTGAAGTGTTAAAATCAAACTGTGGATATTCATTTGAACTTAACAGTTTAGAAATTTCTTTATAGTATTTAAAATATTAGCAGTATTTGAGTGAACAACTGTTTTCAACAATCTTATTAGGTCTGAAAGTTTTATGACCTGATAGTATTATATAACAATGGCCAAAATGAAGTGCACATAAATAAATATTAAGTGAGCTGGGGAATGTTGCGCGGTAAAGTAGTAAACTTTAGCATCGGTTTAAAGGTTAGAAAAGGTTCAATTTGTGTCATTTGTAGATGCTCTGTTACTTATAAATTCAGTGAAATAAATCAGTTAGATATTGTGTATGGAAATTAGCCCCTGAATGTCATGCTACGGCCGAGGGTGGGGAAATTCGGCTCTCCCTCTCGAAATGCTGTCACATGGCCACGCGTATACAGCCACTGCCAGCGAAGTTCTACTCACTGCCTTTTTCACGGCATTACTGTTGTTTACGAGATTGAGTGGATGAAAAGAGCTTTAACCCGGTTGGTGGATATGGAGGATCTACCTAGGGGAGTTGAAAAACCCTGATTTCAAACCAATGCTCCACATGGGCTCCAGGACCCTGGAGGCATAAATGGCATATGAACCAATTATTGGCCACCAATTACCATGAGACTGCATCTCCTTACGTTGCTCCACTGCTTTGTTGGTCAGACCTTTAGATTGAAGGCTCTGGGTGTGGGCACTCTACGAAAACCACCTGTTTCGGTTCGGGAAGCCAGGCAATATCCAAGCTCTCACACAAATCGAATGATTTATGTGGCGTATGTGTATTTTGTGCCTCCTTTTGCCAATATTTATGTGTTCAACTAAATAATAATAAAGGCATGGCTGGCGAATTATTACGTTTTGTTAACTTAAACCATAAAAGCAATAATAGTTTTGTTACCAATAGTGATAATAATAATAATAATAGTCTTGTGATTTAAATATTTAATGAATGAAATATGAGAGATCTCATAACAGGCAATTCATGTGAATTATGAAAGATTTATAATACTAATAAATGTTTACAAGAAATGATTTTTATGCATTTAGTTACCGCATTATGAATAGAAAGTTGTTTCTATCTAATTTAACTTAATTGATAAACCGAAATCAATAGAATCTTTCATTAAATATTTGATCGAATTATCATTATCATTAGTGACTGACTTCAAGAGGTATTTCCTGGAGTTCTAGTGAGAAGTTGTTACCAGTGGAGTTCAACCAGGTCTGTTTTGAGATAGGAACTCACTGAAGACAATGATGTACGGTGGCGCAACTTTGTCGTATTATTTCTCTCATCCTATCTGATCCATATTTATTTTTGATCATGGATCTTAACAATTTCATTTAACATATATGTAGATTCAAGTTAGTATTCCATGTAAGTCATATCAACATGAACAACTGTATTCTATTTTGTTTGACAATCCTACAGTTCATATGTTTTCACGGCGAGACTCTAATTTATGGACGACCTCTTAAGGAATCTTAAGTGACCCTGAGAAATATTAACCAATCAGCAGACAGTCAGCATAGAGTAAAAATATTTTATACAAAAGCAAGGAAATAAAGTGGATTCATTTCTTATACGTGGTTCAAAAACTTGTCAAGGTTAAAAAGAGGTTCAGAGGTTCTAAGATCGTAATGCATGCAGTATAGGAAATCATCTATACGGCTACAGAATAGTCGGTAGCTGGAGTCATGATAAAGTTTCAAAAACTGTTTCAGCCTCGACCACATAGTTTCAATATTGTCTGTGTGCACTCCGGTTGTTGAGTGCACAAAATGCTACTTGTGGATAACGACACGATGCATATAACCAAGCCCATGTAGGAGTGTGTACGCACTCCAAACATCCGTATATATTGTAGTACCTGGCTGCAGCCAGTGTTACGGGTGCCTTTATTATCCAGTTCGCAATAATTGTCGTAATTTGCCTTATTAGGAATTATATATGCGGTTTTCATTACAGACGGACATCAGCTACAATGCCAGAAATTTATTTAGCTAAATTGATGGAAGGCTTTCAGCTTAAAATCCGAGACCAATTATCTTATACCTGAGTGATTCGTCCACAAATTATAGTCTTTCCGCTCAATTGTCACGTTTTGTACAAAATTCCTTGTGAACCAATCGTACGTTAGCATTAATCAGCGAAGTTAGCGCCGTGACCTTGAATCCTCTTACACACTTCTGATTGGCTCGTCCATAAATTAGAGTCTCGCCGTTTTCACTTTAAACGATACACGTTAACCTTAACTTGACCAATTTTTAGATCATTCATTTAGATATATTGAATTGTTGAATCTGAAAAGAATTGATCCTAAAGAATATTCTTTATTCAATATATTAATCTTTTAATATGATGGAGATCTTTGAATGATTTCAAATGTCATTTGTAGATGTTTCTATAACACTTCTTATTCTGATTATCTCTACATAAGTGAGTATACATTCATTATGGTGACGATTATTGTAAACTAACTGACTAACTATTGAATAGATTATAACTTCTTTTGTATAATTGAAATGATCTAAAACTAATCAAAGAATATATTTTCATTAATCATTATATCCCTTTATAATCCCATTATACTATACTTGAGTCATGATACTTGTATTGTATTTTATTGTATTGTATTTGACATGAATCGATTATTTGAGGTAATGAACACTTGAACAATAGTTATATTTGGGTGAACACAACACAATCGAATGATCATTGAGTAAATGTTATGTCGTCATGAGTAAACAGCCAAACTCCAGTCTTTTGAAGTTTGCTGAATCCGTTGCTATCAGACTCCAAAAACTTGATTTATGTGTTCAAAAGGAGATAGTTATTAATTTTTCCTTACCTTGGTGACAAATATTCTTTCGCTGCATCAATTGAGCTCTACTCATTATATTCCTATCAATGTTTACTCATTATATAATCACTTGTTCGTAACCGTTTGAACTGTTGTCACAAAAGGACGGCCTGCTTGAGCATCTAGGCTACCTGTTCCTGCCATCTAGATATTTCAACAAGTTATCTATTTTTGTTTGTTTTAATATATGTTTATGCCTATTAATCGCATAACCTATCCTGCTGCGTTTCTGAAAAGTGTACAACCTTTCGTCGTACAAGTTACAAAAGAGCCCAATCAGAGACATCGTGGTTTCCGGAAATACGCATCGAAAAGAGTATACATTATTCAGATGTTGAATGACTGGACTGCTAACTTATAACTGAAATCGATCAAGCAATATGAAACGGAAACTTATTGAAATACTTTGTTTGAATAGTTGAGATCATGAGTCGATTAAAGCTAGACCACCGTGGAAAACCTGGAAACATTGGACGGCCGTTTCCTCCTATTATGGGACTCCTCAGCAGTGTGTATCCACGACCGCGCCTCGCGAGATTACAACCCACGACCTATCAGTCTCACGCACGAACGCTTAACCACTAGACCACTGATAACTCTATATTGTATCAGAAATATAATACTGAGTAAAGCAACTAATAATAATAATATACATAATGTATTTAGCTTGAATGAATATTGAGAACTGTATGTAAATGACCACAGAAAACAGGATAGAACATAATACAAAATGAGAAGTATCATGAAACCAAACTGTTCACCGAACAACACAAGTTCAGAGATAATGCTCTCAGTAACATAGTTGTATTACGTAACAATGACAATTTGTAAAGGGTCACTTCCTAATTGTCATTCTATTCTGATAACAATGAACAAATATAAACTGTTTATATTCATTTTATCTAATATGAATCTGTTATATCGACTAAATTAATTGACTGATTAACATCTATAATAATGAAACTCTAATGAATTCTCTATCAAAATCATCATTATACTTTAGATATATAAATCATTAATCATAAATAATTTATAACTTACTCTTGCATAAACCAATGTACCAATAAAACAAGAGAATGGTACAGTTTTATTTGTTTGTACATAATCCAAATATGATGTAGCTCCACAACATCTATACTATTAAAAGTAAATGAAATGTAAATATATTTATGTAATATTATTAAAATCAAATAATAGAGTTTTGTTCTCTGAACTCGATAGTTTGGTCGTACAGCATTCCATTGTTCTTTTTCTGAATGACATTATCATCAGCATAAACTTTAGATAGAAGTGAAGTGTTCAAATTTCTTCACTTGTAATTCGCAGCTTCTTTTGTACAACTCAATGTTGTTTGATTCTTGTTAACTCATTTGATATTGTTCAGAAGAATGATAAAAACTTCACAATCAAACCATCCAGTTCAAAGAATAAACCTCCATTAAAATCATCCACCTCAGTTATAAATCTTCTCGATCATATCAAATATTTTCATAAATAACTTACTTTACTTTGTAATTTATCCATTTCTACTTGAACATAAGGATTTGAATAAAATTGTTTCACAGCTTGTAGTACTGAATGATTAGCGGCTGTTTGAAACTATTTAACAACAACAACAACAACAAATATAATCAAATCATTTCATAATATATTAACTAACTTTTTCTCCCATAGTAGCTGTCGCTGTTGCTATGGCAATCTCAATAATCACTGCAAGACATAAACATGCAATATGCTATTACATAAATAATCAATATAAATTTATTATTTACTAGTATAACAATGAATTTTTTTGGTTTCCATAATCCAATATAACCAATCATTGTACCAATTAAAATAAGGCATCCTATAAATATTGCTATTGGAATGATAGGTGGTATGATTCCATTTAAAATTGTACCGAATCTATTCAATGTTTCTAATCCTTTAATACCCAATACAAGTAATACAATACCAAATATCTTGATTAAAAAGATTAATAAACATGATCATAGTGATTAGAATAGATGATTTACTTACAACAAAACAACTATTTAATAGAATAAATAATTTTGTCCAAAATTGTTGAGGTATTGACAAATTCATATTGATTAACGACAACAACAACAACAAGATGATTTCGAAACGAATTGAAAGCAGCAAATGATTTCTGTAAAACAAAATTGAGATTCAAGTTTTCTAAGGTTTAGTTGTTTAGAAACAAAAAAATGTGCAAACTACATATTGTATCATATTAATAAACTGTATGTGTTACATTGTATGTTCAATGATAATTCGTATACATTTGATGTATTTGTTTTGAAATTGTAAGTTGTCAAATCATGGTGAAGGATTTTGTTGTTGTTGTTGTTGTTGTTGAGTTAGACTAATATGTGATCTTATTCATTTGTACACATGCAATGTAATTATATTGTGGATGTGTTGATGTAGAGATGTCAGTTAGACATATTTGTAATGTTATACCAGTTATGCTTCGATTGAGTACATCCATATATTTCACTTATTATGTATGATACAATGAAGTGTATTGGTATATACATTCTTGTCATTAGTTAATATTATATTAACAAATCAGATAAGGGAATAATTAATGAAGTGTAATGCCTAATCATAATATGATTGAAATTATATGGATTGAGATCCCGCGAGCGGGATTGTGAATGCGCACTGCTGACGAGTCCTAAAATAGAACGAAACGGCCGCCCAGTGCTTCCATATTTTCCATGGTGGTCTAACATCAATCGGTTCATGATCTTAATAAAAAAAACTTAACAATCTCCACAATCTCTAAACTGAAATTATACTGTTAACTTTTAATTCAGTAGTATGTAAGTAAATTGCAGAAATGTTTGCAACATTCTCATGAACAATTCATTTGGTATTGTTTTACTTGAAACATCCTATAGATATTTAGGACTGTAATTGATCAGTCTCTTATTGGCATATGTGCATACTGTGTGCATTGCCTCGATATTGCCTTAATTTACAAGCATTATAAGCAAAGATGGATAGTGGCTACGGTACTGGGTTAGAGTCCCAGAGTGAACATCAACCCTGAGATGCAGGTATATCCAGTTAACGAGTGCCAAATAGGACGAAACGCGCGTCAAACTGGATTTCACTGCTAGACACTACCCATCTTTGCTTATAATGCTTATGAACAGTTATTATTGTCTAGATTATCAAACTGATGCAAATGTGATAAATGACTGAAGAATATTTATTGATTTCATAGTGTAAAAATCTTTGTTCGGTTAAACTTTACATATGTTAATTACACAATTACGCCTGTGACTCTTTTTAGACATGCAGAGGGCGCTCACTAGCACTCTCCATCTGACCTAGTCATGGACAAACCTTTCCAGCTCTTTCCAGTTGTTATTCATCCTTTTCATATGTGCTTCTATTTCGCGACGTGTTGTGTTCTTTGGCCTTCCTCTTTTCTGTTTCTCTTCAGGATTCCAAGTTAGTGCTTGTCTGGTGATGCTGTTTGATGATTTCCACAATTTTTTTCTTATCCACTTCTAAAATCTTTTCCTAATTTCCTTCCCAGTTGGATACTGGTTTGTCCTCTCCCAAAATGGGATGCTGCACATGGTATCCGACCAATGGATATTGAGTATATGGCGTAAACAAGTATTTTTAAATATATGTACCTTTTTCATAATGGTTGTGGTAGTTCTTCAAGTTTTAGATCTGTACAATGGGACTGTCTTGACGTACAAATCTTCCATTAGAATGGAATTTACTATGATGAACAAAGAGATATAACTCTTTGAGTTAAAATGGTTACTATGATATAATTCATTAATTTGTACAATGCATTCATTCTATGGAAAGAAGTGACTAAAAAACTCTGTTAAATCATTTTTAACTAAAAATGAATCTCATAGAAACATAAACAGTCTGATAAGTGTGAAAATTCACCTTCTTCATACATATAAACGTGAAAGCAACATTATGGTAGAAATTCAATCAGAAAAGATTTTACTGAATCATTTCAAATGTTATCAATAATTATGATATGTCAGAAGCGGTTTGTGGAGATTTTTAGAAATTTTCACAGATTGAAATCATGAGTCAGTTGAAGCTAGACCACCATTGAAAACCTGGAAGCACTGGACGGCCGTTTCGTCCTAGTATGGGACTCCTCAGCAGTGCGCATCCACGATCCCGCACCACGCGGGGCCCGAACCCAGGACCTACTGGCTTCGCGCGCGAGCACTTAACCATTAGACCACTGAGCCGGCATCCAACGGTGTTAATGTCTAACTTAAACCAATCCACGAAGTTGCGCCACCATATACCATTGTCTTCAGTGAGCTGATATCTCACAACAGACCTGCGTGGTGCGGGATCGTGGATGCGCACTGCTGAGGAGTCCCATACTAGGACGAAACGGCCGTCCAGTGCTTCCAGGTTTTCAATGGTGGTTTAGCTTCAACTGACTCATGATTTCAATCTGTGAAAATTATGATATGTGTAAATTTTTGGCAAAATTGGTGAATAGTGTATCAACCTAGTGATAAAATGAAACTATAAACCATAACATTTGGACAATAAAATTGATCCAGTTATAAATTGTGTTATTTGAGAAATATATACAACGAATGGGATGAAATATTAAGTGTATAGAATATCAATGATGTCTCATGTTATTAAGATAGTCAGTAGGAATTTATGTTTGACTACAGTGCTTTATCTTAGTTGGAATTGTGAAACGTTACTTACTTACTTACTTACTTACCTACGCCTGTTACTCCTAATAAAGAATGGGCCACCGAACACCATTCCCCAACTCACTCTCTCCTGTGCCTTCCTTTCTAGTTCTATTCAATTGTTGTTCATTCTTCTTATATCTATATCCATCATTTGGCGTATTGTGTTCTTTGATCTACCTCTCATCCTTTGGCCTTCACGATTCCATGTGAGGGCTTGTTTTGTGATACAGTTCGGTGCTTTCTTCAATTTGTGTTCTATTCACTTCCAGAACTTCTTGCTGATTTCCTCCTCCAATGGAATCTAGTCTGTTCTCTCCTACAGTAGGCTGTTGTTGATAGTGTCTGGCCAATGGATTCGAATTATTTTGTTGAGACAACTGTTAATAAACACACTTTTATCTTCTGGATGATGATTGTGATATTTTTCCAAGATTCTGCCTCATACAATATAACTGTCTTGACATTTGTATTGGAAATTCTGACTTTGATGTTGGAATTATCAAACGTAATATACCTAAACATTTAAAGAAATTGATATTCTACATGTTATTTGAAATATGAATCACTGATTGCTTTGAAATAAATAAAATTGTCAATCACAATGTAGTTGAGTATGAAAAAATCAATTAATCTCTCTGTTGATCATTATGACTATGTGTAAATTGGGTGAATTAATCTAGACAAGTAGAAATTTACAAGCTATATACATATATGCTTTGTATTTGTTGTGAGTAGTATGAATAATGCTTATTAGAAAATTGGAGTAATTGATGAATAACTTACTGGACGATTATGTTTATCAACGTATTCATGAAGATTAATTGTTCTTTTCAGATTTAAGATAAAGAATAATCCAGATGGTCAAATAGTCAGCTTCAATGATGTCGAATACAAAGGATAGATATATTATTGTTGTCATTATGTAGTTTTGTACATATTGACAGATTACCTTAGAACAACCGTGAGAAGAAGAGGAAAGGTTATATACAGTTTAAAGGGTATATGAGATTGATAGAAATAATAAATTGTTTTGTGGAACATATCATTTAAAAGTCCATTGAATTCTGATTGTGATAAAATGTCGAAGACACATTAATATGTAAGGAATTCTTAGTAATTCCATGGTGTACTGTGAGGCTTTTCCCTTGTTTTGAAAGTTACATTTCTATCAGTTTACTTGTTTTACTGAGGTGTATGATATGTGATATTCTGTTTAACGTTGATTTGCTTGATAAGCTTCATTACTTTACCACTGTCTTTTGTATATTTTCTACAATTACCTGCTAATCAAGAAGTTTGTACTTGGTAGTTATTGACAATGTAGTGCTTTTTGTTCAGATAAACAACTCAAATACAAAAAAAACTATCTACCAAGCTAAATTTCAATGATGGATTTGCTAAGGATATGGATGCTGATCATATTAATCCTGATATGAAGTAGTTCCCTTTATTGTGTAAATATTCATTCTGTCAAATGGAACATATAAAGATATTTTAGACTGAAGAAAGTAAACTGAAAGTTCATGTACATCATGTAAATTATAGGTATTAAAAACATGAAAGTATAGAGGTTAGTGTTATGGACAAATCAATCTATTCATTCTTCCTAAACCACATTTCTACCTTGTCGATTATTCACTTATTAACCTCGACTGTTTCTATGTAAGCCCATAAATGTGCATTTTTTTTTTCTTACTTATCTCATGTCTGTAACTTCTTTTTGTCGAACTATAAATATCGATTCACGCTTAGTTAAATTGAGTTGACTCACTCACCTTCTCGATTACGCGTCATTTAATTTCGCTACTCTTTTCAACCAATGATTGTACAAAGTATTCATATTCAAACTACATTGTTGTATTTAACTTATTTAATTCCGTTATTCATCAATGCGATCTAAGTCGATGATTATATACGAAGATTAGCGATATATATATATATATATATATATATATATATATATATATTTGGTTACCAAGCAGCAAACGATCAATCTGAAGTCAGATCTCCAGGTCACTAAACAAAGGAAATTATTTAGTTTGTTAGTTATCAGTAGCATTAAGCTGTTGTGTTATTTTTAAATTATGTTAATACATTGAACTATGTGACGACGGACCACGGGTGAACTCGAGGAAGCTGTAGGAGGCTCAGAAGGAGACGAAGATATTACATCCAATCACTTTTTGGTAGAATATTCTAAAATTCCTAAGTGTAGCTTCCTGATTGGACAACGCTAATAACCCGCTGTATGCGGATTGGTGGACTGTAATGATGATTTCGTTCTGACTAAAAACTATAATTACCTGACAATTTTTTACTATAATAGACACTGTTTGAAATAATATTCCTTTCATTAATCTTCTGTCTACTTATTGCGACGTGGAAAGGTTTTGGTGTTCTAATGCTCAGTTATACGCGGTATATCAAGAAAACAACCTTCAAGATATAACAAATTACTAATCACTTAGCAATGACTCAGTTGAAGTTTACTGATTATCGAACTGTTAATGAAATTGATGGAAATGGGAGTATTTGGAATGTAATTGATTTATTTCTGATGTTAAAATTATCCGAAATATGTTCATAGATATCCTCATAATTGATTGTCGAATATCCTCAATGTGACAGTGGCTTCACTAAATGAATATATAAACGTGAATTTCACAAGCATATTTTTCAACGATTTCAGTGATTACGACATCACAAGAAACTTACATTTCTCATTGTCATAATAA